GCAGTAAGTGTATGTTGTGCATATTCTCCTCCCTGTAGCTTGCTGCTTGCCGGTTGGGCGTCCTATTTGAATTATGGGTCTGGGCATGCCACAGGAGGTTTAACTGTTCTCTGCTTTCTGTGCAGTCAGAAAATGCGAAATCTGAGGGCACGTTCCAGGTCACCATGCTGCCCGGAGATGGGGTGGGCCCAGAGCTCATGCACGCAGTCAAGGAAGTGTTCAAGGTAACGGCTCCTGCTTCTCTGTGAGGCTGGGTGAATGGTGGAGAATGGAGGAGCAGCAGCTGCAGAATTGCTTGAAGATGCTTATGTTTCAGAGACCAACTTGACTGTTTCCTCTAGAGCAGAAGAGAGTTAGTAGGTTGCTAGAAACCTGGGCTTTTACTCTTTTCCGCAAAATAGGTTCAACTTGGACCTTTTGCAAGACGGTAGGTAGTCTTGCAAAGTGTCTCATTTTCTGGTGTGTGCCATTCCCAGTCTAGAACCATGTCCTGGAATGAGCAGAGGAGTCCGTGACCTGACGGTCCTTCTCTTTCTCTGCTGAGGTGGCCAGCGAACACTAGTGCCCTCTGAGGTGGTCATGGGGAGGACAGTCCTGTCTGGAATGTGACTGCTGTGCTGTCGTTGTCCAGCTGTCTAGAACTCTGTGCTCTTCTGACCATGTTCCTGATCTGTAGTGAGCCTTTCTTTCATATAGCAGCGTCAGAGCTTGAGGAGGAAGTTAGTACCAAAGTTACTAGTTAGTTAGTAAGTTAGTTCTGTTTTTTAGCAGATAACAAGTCTGTTCACATCAGAGGAAACAAACATGACGTTATCTGTCACGTTATGAGTTACACAGCTGAAACTATAATTTACACTAAGGAAGTGGAGTTCTGATGTTGAAGGTACCAGAAAACATGTCATTATTCAGTTAGAATTAAGTTGAAAGAAGCAACCTAGACGTCCAGGTTCAACATATCGTGACTTCAGTATCCTCTTCTCCCCGCGGAGACAGTCTGGCTGGTTTAAGGTTTCATGTCCCAGCTCTGTGTGTGTGTGTGTGTGTGTGTGTGTGTTTGTTGTAAGTTTCCTGCCAAGTCTCTGAGCTGACTGGGCAGTGGTCCTTTTCTTGCATCTCTTGTGCAGGCCGCCAGTGTGCCTGTGGTCTTTGATGAGCATCACCTGAGTGAGGTGCAGAACATGGCATCAGAAGAAAAACTGGATGAGGTGGTTGACTCTATGAAGGAAAGTAAAGTGGCCCTTATAGGTAAGGAATTGCACTAGCTTTCTGTCCGGCAAACAGAGCTCTCCACTCTGCCTGAAGGAAATGTTGCCTTATCTCAAACCCCATTAGATGCTTTTAGAAAGCAAGGACTGCTGTGGTCTAGGTCCTGGAAAAGGAAATATGGCCTCTTTAAGCTAAGGAACAAATTGCCTCTACTTGATGTACTTAGCTTATCAAAGAAGAAGTTATTTCCAGCTTCTGCTTTTTGAAACAGGATCTCGCAGTATGGAGCCCAGAGAAACCAGTGAACCCGTCTGGGTCCCGTGTAGTGAGAGAGCAGTCCCTGTGCTTGGGTGAGGTTCTGTCGAAAGAACCTGTCTCTGATGCTGGCTGTCCTGTGGTCTGGGTTCAGGCAATGTTCTTAGCGGCTGTTGGTGGGCTCTGTGCTGTGCATCTTACTCCCGCTCAACCTTGTCCCTGCAGGCAAGATCCACACCCCCATGGAGTACAAAGGAGAGCTGGCTTCGTATGACATGAGACTCAGGTAAGCTTGGTCCCCTGCTTGACTGTCAGTGCTGAGCCCTGACGCATCAGTCACTGGAGAAACCAAGCTGCGCTTAGTTGTGGTATTCTGCCAGTGGGCCACGTGTTGAAGGAAGTAAGTCCAGGATAGGTGTGAAAGTCATGAGGAAGCAGAAGCTTCTGAGAAACTGTCAGTGGCCAGAATCTGCCTCTGTTAATTATGATTGACGGTGTGCTTTCTTTGGGATCCTGGAGATGCCAAAGGCGGGTGTGAATGGATGGAAAATGGACCTGCCTCGACAGAGCATTGTAGAAGCCCTGCTTGGAGGTGTGACTGGTTCATGATCCATGAGGGGATAAATAGATACAGGAGAACATCTTAAGAGGTGGAGAGCTGTGCACCATCACCGGCTGATACCCCGGCATTGGCCATGAAGAGTATCTGCCCCAGAAATAGCTCACGATGAAATGCTGACCCTGCCGCTTCTTTTGCAGGCGCAAATTAGACTTGTTTGCCAATGTTGTCCATGTGAAGAGCTTACCAGGCTATAAAACACGGCACAACAACTTGGACCTCGTGATCATTCGTGAGCAGACAGAGGGGGAGTACAGCTCTCTGGAACACGAGGTAAGGGAGCTTCCCTCCAGCACGTGGGTGCTGTGGTGCGGGGTCACTGCTGGGCTCAGCGTCTGCATCAGAGCTCGCTGCTGAAGGACAAGGAAACTTACCCAGGATATGGAAC